AGGATAATGACACCCACAAATACATAAGGAACAATCCCTCCTGAATCAGTGGGCTGTTTTCTGGCAGAATCCCCTTGAAGTTCCTCTACCAGTGGAGAGGAGAGTTGAGTTTTCCCTGGTAAGTGAATGAGCTGATTGTATTGCAGGACAATTTCTACTTGATCTTATTCCAAGTGTGCAAAGCCATAAGTGATTGTATTTGGGCAAAACAGCTGTCAAAGAGATCAGGCCTGGGGGCTCTGCATTAAGAAACCAAGTATTTGTGCAGAGAGAGGTTGCATAAGCACCAGCTTCTATCCTGCTTGAATTTGCTTTGTACCAAAAAGTGGGGCTGTGAGAGCCACGAGACAATTTCCCCTCTTGTTCAGAAAGGCTCAACATCAGCTGGCAGTCATCCAGACAAAGGGAGAAGGACAAAGGAAGCACGCCAGAGAAAGGATGTGGCATGGATCAGTGTTCAGACCTGTGCTAGCATAAAGGCCTCCACTACAGAGGTGTGAAATTGAGATGGGAATCCAAGCCCTTGCAGATGGTGACTTCATTGCTGTGGCCAAATTCATTTAGCTGTGCAGGCATATGACTTGGGAGCTGTAACCAACAGCACTTCATGGGACAGTCTTCAATATCAGCATTATGAGATGCCTGTAGCACAGCTTTCCCTGAGTGATTATGTGACTGTAACAGAGGGATACTGGCCTCGCTCACCAACAATTTAAATTAGTTGAAGCCTTGTTTTCCTTGTCATCTCAAAAACTGTTCCTGTGATTGTCTGTCTGTAACTATTCTGAGACTGCTCCTGTGGTTTTTGGAATGCTTCACCTCAGCAGATGTATCGTGGAGAGACCACTCACAGCATGCTGCAGTGGCTTTACCTCTCCCCCCAGCCTGTGGCTGGGTGACACCAACTGCAAGGCCGGCAGATGGCAATCTTTGTATTCATTTGCTCTCCGTATGACACTTTCATCTCAGTGGACATAACACCAGTTGCATCACTTAGTTTGGTGTAGAACTTGTGTTGGTCCTGTCCAGAAGATATTTTGCTCTCCCTGGCTGATGTTTCCATCCCAGATGTAGAACAAGAAATGGGTCTATGCGAGAGCCTTCCTCTCACCAGGAAGCTCTGTAAACTGGACAAGCAGAGGTGCTAAAGTCAAGGTCAGCATGAGCACAGGCCAGTAATAACATCCAGGCATCAGAACTTCCCTGAATCTCAACTATAGACTGAACTTTTGGGGCTGCAACCCTATCAGTATCTAGGAAGCTTAGCCTTGGTTTAATACATTTAATGCTATCGTTTGTGTTATTTATTTTTAAAGCTTGAGTGTCATATGGCACCACCAGTTTCTAAGCAGCAACATTCTTGAGGACTCCACAGAAAAATATATATTTAAAAAGTGAAGATTCAAATGAGGCCAGCCAACCTATTTATCAAAAGCTCCTTTCTATTTTAGGAACTTGATCCGACTAACCAGGCACTGCTCTTTTTATCATGGGTCACTGCATTTGCAAGCCTCCCTGTACTGACTCCCTTTCCTACTCACATACAGGGGGCTGAAGTGCAGTTCCCCTGTTTACACTACTAGTTGTTATTTCTCCAGCTGCTGGCTGGGTTATGACCCCAGTCAGATTACTAATAATAGTCTCTTTCCCCCTCAGGAAAGTGAGGACCCAGCAGGGTTCAAGAAACCTGTCCCTTCTTAGACCATCAACAATGTCTGGCTTCACGGGATTCAGGCTCTGGTGCTCTCCACTCTAATAACCCCCTACTGGCATCAGCAGGGGAACCTACACCTGCTTATCTGGCTCCCAGCTTCCCAGCAATGCGCAAAGCAGATGATGCCAGTTTTCCTAAGCCCCTTGCCTCCTTTCACCTTCCTTGGGAGTAGTTTCTCCCACACTCTCTGGAGGATTGCCTTGAAGTCTACTCAAAGGAAAGTTCTCAATTGGCCCTGTGGCTGTCTCCTTCTTGCTGCTACCTTATTTCTCCAGGTTTTGAAGGACTGAGAAAGAACCCTAGTTCATGGGGTAGTTGACTTTCCTATTAATTCTTTAGCAGCTGAAATAATGCAGTTGTGTGCACATCCCTTGACATATTTGATATATTTAAGTCTGATACCTAAAGCAGAGTATAAAAGGACGTGCAGTACTGTCATCCTTAAACAGATATATAATTTCCCATGGACATAGCATTAACTTTCAGTTCCTTATTAAAAGCACTCTAAGGGATACAGGTTTTGTACATTGCATTCCACCTTTCTCAAACTTCTCATTTAAGTTCAGTGGGCTACAGAATTCATTTCATTAAGCCTCCAAGGAGCTGCACTTTTCAGGGGTTGGGTGTCGTTTTGATCTCAGATTTTCCATGTAGAGGTATCCAGGGAGATTTCATTCCATCCTTTTGTGATTACTTCCAGTTCAGCCCAGAAGCTCTCTTAAAGCCTTGATTTGAAGACTAAGCCAGAGAAAACAGCTACATTCTTGAGCAAATTATGCCAGGGTTAACTAAGACAATTAGTAAAAATTTCATGTAATTGCAATTACTTCAAGTCTGCATTCAGCAAGATTTAATTCCTAATCATTTGTTATCCTTCTGCTTTCCACTGCTGGATTAAAAGGCAATTTATTTGCAGATGTCTCTTTGCTGTGTATGCATGAGAAGATCATGAACAATGTGTGGCTGTGCCTTCCACATAGTTAATTCCCCACCTCCCTTTCAGTAGGATCATATCCAGCTATCACATCACTTTTTGAACCCTTTCAATCCTTTTGAAAAGCCTGATGTGTACAACATAAATCACATTATTGACCCTACATATGACTTTCCAGCTTTTCATTGGGCAGCTGGCAGGCTTTCTCCTTGCTGCAATATCACACCAAAAGCCTATTTCCAGGGACTTATACACAATGACCTTTAAGTCTTTTACTGAATAGCTGCCTTCAAGTATATTGTTCTACATCTTATGAATGTTTTATGTCTTAATTTTTTCTTCTTGCTGTAAAACCTTGCAGTGGCCCTTTAAAATATGTGTTCACTTTACTAGGAGTCCCCTGTTGGCCAGTAAAAATTATTTACTTTCTAAGAAATTTTGATGTCAAATATTTGCAGCAATCATTTCAAGTTTCTTCCTCACCTTGGACAAAGGCACTATCAAACATCAGCCTTGAGAAAAATCCCCATAGTTGCATGTTTTCTTGTGTGCTAGATCCTCCTTACACCTGCCTTACAACCTATCATCTTCCTTGACCTGCCACCCTTTGACACATTTAAAGCAGATTGTGTAGCATGCAGTTTCTTCAGTCAGGTTGGGAAAGCAAAGGAAAGTCCTCACAGAAGTTCTTCAGCATATCTATAATTGGATAGGATAGATCAGCAAAGCTAATATGGAAATCTGTTTCTTTCCTCTGCTGTCATGTACTAAGCATATTTTCCTTGGCATCAGCAGACTTGTGCAGATGAGTGATGTTTTGCCTCTGTGTGGTTTCAGATTATTACCAAACCAAGAAAACTGAGGAAGTTTAATTTTTTTAATTTATTTACCCCAAATCAAATACTTGGCTTCAGTGCTGTAGGGTCACTTCTTTTTAAAATCTTTGTAATGAAACTGGATGAAACATTGAAATGAAAACCTCATTTTTATTTACAGTCTGTTTAAAATGTTGTCATGAAACATGGTAATTTTTAATGACATTTTTTCCTAGTCAAGATAAATAAACCAGCAGGCTTGACACTAATTTAAGTGGAAAATGTTACCCACCCTTACTCCACAGAACTCCAGCTTTGTGATTCCTGTGAGAAGTACAGTCCCTTTAGTTCCCAGTGAATGCAGGATGTGATATTTTGGGAAAGGCTGAGCATTTTTTGCCCGCAGGTTAATACGAGCACAGGCATTCAGCATTCTCCCCTACCTCCAGGACAAACCACTGGCCACAAAGCACAAACTGAATGCACATTAACAAAATCACTACTAATGTTTATCAGTGCATTTGAAAACTTACATAAAAACTAAGAAAGTAAGATAGAAAAAAAGGAAAGGTTTCTTCTTTGAAACATTAACTTCAAGGAAAGTAGAAGGTGCACCTTCACCTCCAGACAATGTAACTGAGATCAAATCCAGTGTGTTATCACAGACATGTAACAGCATCCCTGTTAATAAGCAAAATCTTGGAAAACAGTTAAGGTAGTATTAAGGTCTTGGATATTTTTAGGTGTTACCCATCAACTACAATTAAGTGGTGTTTTACGCTGAAGGTGCTCGGCACACTGAAGCCAGTGTGAATCAGCTAAAGACCAGGTGCTGCCAGCAAAGCTGTGCCAGTTTACGTCAGCTCAATAGAATGGTGTCATTTACACCACGAAGGGAGAGCAAAGGACATGACCCTACCTTTACCCTTGTCTCTGTAGGTATTTTTGTACCTTTTCTCTTTTTTCTTTTTCCATTGCTGGTGCACATTCATGGGAAATAGATATGACTCTAATTTTAGTACAATAGTAAACAGACCGATCTCTTTAAAAACTACAAATTAACAAACAGTCATGTCCATATGATGTCTGAGGAAAGAATATACTGACATACATGAGGACCTGAAAGAGAAACTGGCTGGAAAGTGAAGAAAAAAATTGGATTTCACTGAGGAACTCCCAGAAAACAATAAAAAAAAAACAAGGGGAAAGACAAGGCAGAAATAACAAGGTTTAAAATAATAATTCTTAAATACCAGAGCTGTTATTGAGACTGATGGAGAAACATTTTTATCCAGTGTCAGTTTGGTGGGAGGAAAGAAAAAGCTGAAGTCAGAGAACACCAGAGAGCTGGGATATGTGAAGGAAAGAGTTAAGGCTGGAGTCACCCTCTCTGAAGTGCTCTGTGATGCTGTGCAGTGTTTCAACCCCCAGAGCCTTCCTCCTCCTCCCTCGCTGTGTCGGAGTGGGGAGGAGGCGGGTTCTGCTGAGCTGTTAAATCCTGAGTGAAGTTTCCCCCATTTCCAGTGGCCACCGTTGTCTGAGGCTGGTTCAGAGCAGGGCTGGGGTTGCCCTGACATTTCTGGGATCGCGGCCAGCCAAGAAGAAAAAAAGACGAGTGTTTTACAATTTGCTTTTGTCAAAGTGTGGAGAAGGGGGAAAGGGAAGCGTCCTTTCTTTTTTTTTCAGCATCACATTCCTGTGTTTTTCTTCAGCCTGGAAAACATATTAGTGCTGGTGCTTTCCTCTCTGGAAACAAAGGAGCTAAACGGGACTGAGGAAGCAAGGAGTGGGAAGGAGGTTTGGGAAGTTTAAAAGAGAGACTTGGAGCAGCCAGAAGTTCCCTTTCCTTAAATGAAATCCTTGCCTGTGTGGGTAACCGGTACAGCAAAATTCCAGACCTGCAGGTAAATGGAGAAGCAGAGATCACAAAGGAAATTTCCGCTAACCTCATCCCGCCAGTCAAGAAGGTGAAGAAGAAAGTTAAAAGACACACAACAGGCTCTGTGACCTGTTGGGCTGCGTAAAGATAAATCACTGAACAACAGTAAAGCTGAATGGCATTAGTCTCCTTTTAAAGGAAAAAAGACGTGAAAATTCGTCTCTGGCAGGGGAACTTCCCTGAGAGTGTAAGTTTCAAGTCAAATTCTTGTCTTTCTGCTCTGTGTACGGGACCCTTGCTCAGTGTGTGTTTGCATGTGTGTATAGTGAGAGTGTGAGAGACATGGGGAGAGTGAGAGACAGAGAGAAGGATGCAGATCACGGTGTCGTTTTAGATAGACAGTGTCGTGTTACAGAAGCATGATCTCATTTTTTCGTAAAGTGATCCATTCTGTGTTTTTCCAAAAATAACTGTAAAACTTACAGAGTCACTAGGGCAGGTCTGAGGTGTAATCAAGCATTTATAAATCACACAAAATAGCCAGCCTGTGCTTTGCATTTTTAATCACTTGGGCAAGTTATCATCATACTGTTAACATCTAATTTTTCTCCTTCTCCTCCCCCCACCCAACACAGATTGCACAATGAACTGGAGGCCAGCTCTCAGCTTAGCCCTGCTGTGGGCAGCATGGTTAGTGTGTGGCTCTGAGAAGCTGGAGAGACTAGTGGAAAGAGGGAGCCATGGAGTTAGGAAAGTGCCTCTGGCTTACAGGGCTTCAAGCAGCCTCCTGAGAAGGTCTGGAGCATCCCTAAGGAATTCAAGCCCAAATCCTCAACACCCTGTCACCAAGAGGGATTCTTCAGCATCTCCAAAGCCACCTGCCAACCTCCTGCAAGGGGAAGCACGTTCCCAGGCCAGGGGCACAGGGACCAGAATGAGATTGGTACAGAGACTCACAGCTGCAGCCAAATACCCCAAGTCTGAGATGATTAAGGATGAAGGGATATCCTCTGCCACCCAGTCACGAGTGGTACGTTTCCCTTCAGGGTCAAGTTCTCCCAATGTCCTGGCCAGCTTTGCTGGGAAAAATCGGGTGTGGGTCATTTCTGCCCCCCATGCCTCTGAGGGCTACTATCGGCTCATGATGAGCCTGCTGAAAAATGATGTTTACTGTGAATTGGCTGAGAGGCACATCCAGCAGATTGTGTTGTTCCATGAAGAAGGGGAAGAAGGGGGAAAAGTTAGAAGGATAACCAATGAAGGAAAAATCCTGGAACAGCCACTAGATCCTGCCCTCATCCCTAAGCTCATGAGCTTTCTGAAACTGGAAAAAGGGAAATTTGGCATGGTACTGTTGAAGAAAACCCTGCAAGTGGAGGAAAGGTATCCTTACCCAGTCAGGCTGGAGGCCATGTATGAAGTCATTGATCAGAACCCCATCAGAAAAATTGAGAAGATGAGGCAGAAGGGCTTCATCCAGACATGCAAAGCAGCTGGGGTGGAGGGGCAAGTGGTTGAGGAGGGCAATAATGGGGGCACCATGCAGTCTATCCCCAGCAGTGAACACGTCCAGGTGTCAGCAAGGAAGGAGGATCCAAGGAAGAGCAATAATCAGCCAACAAGGACCAAAACAGTGAGGAAACCAGTGACAACCACAGTGGCCACTCCTCTAGCTACAGTAAGGACCACTACCCTCCCTCCCACCACCACAACTATTCGTGCTACCACCCATGCAGTGACAACAGCCAGCCGGTCTACAACAACAACTACACTGCTCCCCAGCACACAGAGGACCTGGACCATGAAGTCACATTCCACCACAGAGTACCACAGGCTGCCAGTAGCCCCTGATGCCACCACACCACGAGTCACAGCCTCTGAGGACTTCTACTCTCCTGTGTGGAAAACAAACCGGAGGGACCGACTGCGCGGCCACCAAGAGAAACAAGTGGCAGCCACACGGAAACCAAACAAGGCTGCCAGCTATGACAGTTTCACAGAAGTTCCAACAGCTCCCTCAGTGCACTATACAAAGGCAAATGTGGGTAGGTTTAAAGATAACAGAACTGACAGAAAGGATTTTAACCACAGGGACCTGAATGTCACACCTGGGCAACACAAACCAACTAAGAGTAAACCACCAAAAAAGAAGACTCAAGCAAAGATACTCAGTAATGAGTATGAAGATAAATATGACCCAAGCAAACCTGCTAGTTCCCATTTAGAGGAACAGTTTGCAGCAGGAAATATTCCCCCAAAGAAAGGAAAAGAATCAAAGAAGCATGACCGAATAGATAAACCTGAGAAGAAAAAGAAGAAGGACAGATCTGACAAGCAGCAGAAGAGTGAGAAGCAGTCCAAGAAGATCAAAGCTGAAAAAAAGAGCAAGCAGGACAAAGACCGCAGTAAGAAGAAGAAGGGAAGCAGGACTGAGAATGAGGATTTTCCTAAGTCCAACAAGAAGACTTTCCTACAGCCTCCCAGGAAATCAGCAACTAACCTCCTGGAATATTTTGAAGGCAAGAGGAGGCTCATTGTAAGTAATCCATTCATCTGAATTTTAATACTTAAATGAAGTTGAATCTCCCTCGTAGGAATATGTGGAACTGTAAGTTTAAAGTGGGTTTGCATTACTCTTTTTTGGTGCTTTTGTCTTAAGAGATAAAATTTGTAGACCCAAATAATTTTTTCCAACAGGTTTCACAGCCTCATACTGGAAATCTTACATGCAGTGTAAAAATCAGTCATCCAGAGATTAGGATAAAACCTAGATAAAACTCCCAGCCACTTCTATCGGCCAACATATAGCCATCAGATTATCTTGCTTCCAGTGGATATGTAGGTGTCAGGATCTGTATCATTAAGATCAATAAAATGAGGTTCCAGTGTGGATTACATCCATTCACCACCTTGGGGTACTTGCCAAAGTTACCACATTTCAGTGCTCTGCATGTCCTGCCAGCTGGCACACCTGCTTCATATTCGTGCTGGTGTCCTAAAGCTGGAAGAAAGCCAGGTGGCTTGGCACTACTAGTGTACGTCTGACTGAGGATATGCACAAAGGCTTGTGATCAGATGCCCTGAGGGATGGGAATTTGGCATCAGATCTCCCAGACATCTTCAGAGATCCTGTGCAAACTTTATTTTGGTTTGGGATTTTCTCCTGCTGTTTGTATTAAACTGTAACACTCCAGTAAGTTTTCAAGCCTGAGAACTTCAGCATGGTCTGGAGTTACTTGTCCCCAGGTTTTATAGCGTTGTATGTTTTTCCAACTACTTATAAAAACCACTTCACCTGGGACAGGAAACAGTTTTAGTTGTAGTGCAAATGTTTTTTCTGGCAGATGACACATATCCTGAAGGGTACACTTTGAAAAACAGTTATTTAAAAATATTCTTGTGAGAGCTGGTCTGTTTCACAGTTATTGTCCAATAGTCATTGTCACAAATGCCTTTGACTTTCATGCTCCATATTCCAGTACAAATAGCTAAAGTGCCAATCTAAGATGCCAAGTAAAGATTTCAACCATTGGAATGTAATGAATCATTCTGCTGATGATTCATGGCCCTGAAAACAAGGCAACTTTCTTCTCCCCCGTCCCGTTCTTCAAGATGTAAGGACTATGTGGAGCTAGCACTAGAAGTGGAAAACAGACATAAGTTTGAAAAAATTGAACTTGACTGAATTTTGCAAATAAAGGCTATTAGTTACTTGTTAACTAATATTTAGCTAAAACAAAAGCTCAGAGATAGAAACTATGTAGAAATTGGGATCCTTGAAATTTGGCCTCAGTGTCGCAGTTTCCAAGAATATATGTTAGCATCAGGATAAATATAAACAAACTTGAAAATAAGAGAGCCAAAAGTAAAGCTCACAGATGTCAGACTAATTCGTAACACTACCACAGTCCTGGCAACTAAAAGGATTGTCTGAAATTTGAACCTTCTGATACTGGGCCACCTCACAGCTGGATCTCTGAGAAAAGGGTTGCACAATCTCAGGTTATCAGGCCAGAAATCACGGAAGACAAATGATTGTGCCATGCTGCACCTTACTTTTCCAGTATCTAATAAAATCCTCAACCTCCCTATTCTGAAGCTACCTGAAGAATAGGTTTTGTTCAGTTATTAGTAAAAGCAGTGGATGAACTGTATTTTCTCATTGCCACACACAGCACATGCGGAAAACAAAGAACTTCTCAAGCCTCTTTGAATCCACACGTGCCTATTTGCATTCCTTCCAATCAAACTGTTCATTTCCCTTAGGGGAACAATCCTGAATCTCTCAACTCCCTCTCTAGAGAATTAGCCCACATTGCTGCAGAAGCAGCTCTACCCAAGTTGTTCCCCATTGCTTTGCTGTATTTTTGTCTTTCAGACTAGCTTCCAAGGACATTATTTCAGTCCATTTCCAAACACCTTTTAACAAGGACATGGGGTTTAAAGTTCTACATCATTAACAATTTCAGATTTCAGTGTGAATTTCAAACATCTGGAATTCTGAAGTCTATTCCAGGTTAAGTTCAATTAATGACAAATATAGGTCCCAGGTGCAGAAACTGAAAAAACATATGGGTTTTGAGTCAAACAGCCTCACCTCTCTATAGTGAGGCTTTTACTGCAGTCTTGAAAATGTTGAGAAATTTTGGCCTTGTGAATTTGGGTTTTTTGTTTGTTTCTCTGTGGTGATGAAATGCCAACTGACAGTTTATTTGTAACACTCCATATATACCCACATCCACACACACACACATGCATGAATGCAAATGAGGAACAGGAAGATAATGAGAGGGCTGGAGCACCTCTCCTATGGGAACAGGGTGAAAAAGTTGGGGTTGTTCACCCTGGAGAAGAAAAGGCTTCAGGGAGACCTTATAGCAGCCTTCCAGTACCTAAAGAGAGCTTATAAAAAAGAGGGAGTGATAGCTGTGGATGCTCTATCTCTGTAAGTGTCCAAGGCCAGGCTGGATGGGGCTTTGAACAGCCTGGTCTAGTGGAAGGTGTCTCTGCCTCTGGCAGAAGGGTTGGAACAAGACGATCTTGAAGGTTCCTTCCCACCCACCCAAACCATCCTGTGATTCTGTGATGCAAACGCTGATAGAGACAGTGCATATACAGCCTGGGTTAAAACAGACCTGGCACAAAGCTTTCATTGGAAATTTGCTTTTTCTACAAGGTTTGATGAAGCGGATCAGATTCAGGCTTGACTCTGCATTCCAGCTTATGACCTCCAAAACTAGGAGGAGACAATATAAACCAATGGTCTGTTTGTCATCTCAGTCTTCAAACCCTTCTCATGATCCTTTTTTTTTTATTTGAAGCATTTTTATATGCAATTTAAAAGCAATGCATTACATGCTGTACCCCAGAAACCAAATCCTCTTTGTGTCTGTCACTCTCATTCACCTTCATGTCCCAAAGCTGTAGTCATGCCAGGGGCCTTTGCATAAATGAGAGGCAGATTTTATAAGCCCGGAAATGTTTTTACATTGATGAACTGGATTTATAAAGAGTATACAGTAAAAATTAGCCTTCAGGCCCCACAAACTTCAGAAGGCAGCCAGAAAATTATTACTCCTGATACAGATTAAAGCATAAATTTATAATTGAAGGATTTTGGTGATTATTTGTGACCTTAAATCATAAAGCTTGAGTCCATATTCCAGCTCCCTTTGTATTTGGGGGATCAGTGGCAGGTGCTTGATTGCAGTTCACTGCTGCCAGTTAGAATGATTACATTGCTAGAGCTGCAGCATTCCTATGCATCTTCTGCTGGAAACTGCTGCATAGGATCACTGAATGTTGTTACACACACCCCTTCCCTGGAATATTTTCATCTCAGTCACTAATGAAAGACCAGAGTCATGTGCTCTAAACATTTTAAAAATTAAATCTTCGCAATCCTTAGAAGGCTTTGAAGTAAGTACTGTAAAATGTAGAGCTTTTTATACTTTTGTTGTTGTAATTGTTCCTCCTTCTTTTCACCCACATCTGTGCCTTTGAACAAGTATAAGTCCCATAAGACATCAAAGTGGCTTAGAACAAAGAAAAGCAAAATCAGTCATTTTCAGATGAGGTCACAGTGGCCTTAGCAAGTCTTCAAGGTCTTCTTAGATGGCCATCAGTTACATAACTACTCATATAGCCCTAGCTGTACTCACCCCTTGGCAGTCAAAACAGCCATGGGAGCCCTGCCTGGACCATGGGATGAGAGTAGAGAGGCTGCCATGTTCCCAGGGCTCCCACTGTGAGTGAGTCATAGCACCACTGAAGGCTGTGAGGGAGGTGGTGTGACTGGCAGGGCAAGGGATAAAAGGAGACCATGTGGCTCTCTGTAAAATATAGTAATATTTCTTCTACCAGCATTGTGGTAGAATCAGCAGAGGAGCTGGTGCAACCAGCTGTACATGCTTCCAAAGGTTTTCCTGTAGCTGGCTGAATGTCTTTGGGTCAGGCCTGGGCATGAAGGTATACTCCAAACAGAATAACAGCTTTATGGGAAAGAGAGCCCTGTTTGCAGACAGTGACTAGTTCTCCTCCAGTAAAATAATCACCTGCTTGATTCCTTATACTAAACAAACTCTTTTGTCTCTGCCACCAACCAGCTGATCACAACCCCCAAGGCGGACAACACCATGTACGTACAGCAGCGAGATGAGTATCTGGAGAGCTTCTGCAAGATGGCAACAAGGAAGATCTCAGTCATCACAATTTTCGGCACCATGAACAACAGCAGCATGAAAATTGACCACTTCCAGCTAGGTTCTTTTTCTTTTAATACTTTCTTTCCATCTCATAGGCACAATACAGACAGCAAAGGGAAAAATCACCTCACCTTGGGTCAAAATCTAAGACTATGCAGGACCTGAAAAGTAGCTCATTTAGATATATTTAGTGTCACCATCTTCATATTCAGAATTTCCATTTAGACAGGTGACACTGGGCATCCATCTGTCTTAGGTAGCTTTGGAACAACTGCTGTCAGTGTTCAGGTCCTGAGGAATCACCCACCAAAGCCAGTGAAAACCTGTCCTTCTGTAACAATAGTGGTTGGACAAAGATTTCAGGTTGCAGTCCAGCAAAGCACTTAATCTTAGGTATCTCTTGAGTCATTGAACTATTGCATTTCTGTCTGTTTCTAAAGATTAACACCACTGTGAGAGCTTTGTTGGATGAAGCCAAAGAAATACAAATATTCTACAGTTCTATACTGCAAATAGAATAAAAGCTTCTAATTTTGCTTACAAGTCCACCACATCTTTCCCCTTGAAGTTCATCTGGTTACCAAAACCAAACTTTGGGAAAAGATGTGTGATGGAACAGAAAGCTCAGGACTTGACCAGCTGCAGGGTGTTTCAGGTCTGGCATATAAATGGCCAGAAGATCACAGATTGATGTCTGGCTTCCAGCTGTGCTTCTGCTGCTCTCAGAGGGACAGGATCTAGCCTTGTGTCCCTGAACGACAGTGAGTCACAAATCCTGCCAGACTGTCCATTTGTGCACCTCCTTGACAAATCTGGAGCAGTACAGGATTTTCCACATCAGGCCAAGGTTACTCAAGGTCACTTTATGTGTACCTAGATCCATCTGCCTGTCAGTGGACTGTTTAGGATTATATTTAGCTCTAGTCTGGCTAATATTCAGATATTCACTCTGACACAGACCATACTCTTTCAGCTTGTTCTAAACTTAACTGACATCCAAACTTTCCCCAAACCACATAAGTGTATTTAACAGCTGAGTTCTCATAGGAGGAATTAAATGGTTGAAGAAAAACAGGAGATTTAGAAGGGTATAGGTTAAACTTTTCATGAAGTTCACCCTATAATTCTTCCCAAAACACCAAATCCTGAGCTTTATAGAAATTCACACAATACAAATAAATAATACAAATATCTGTCTGCCTCCCCTTCTCCTCCACCCTTCCTGTTTGTATGGCCTCTTCAAAGCTCACTCTCTGTGAACATCAGAGGCAGCAAAAGCTCCTAAGAAACCTTTTGTACACAGTATGTTTCTGTAGTGAGAAGCTTGAGCACCCAGCGTGATGAGGTCTACTCAGAGTGCTGCATCTTGGGTCTGAAATACAAAAGACATCAACAGAAAAGTCAACAGAAAAGACTTTTCACTGGAAATTTCAAACACATTTAGAAGTGGTGAATGAGTGAGTGGCATTAGTTCACAGTAAACCAGAGAGTATTTCCCACTTTCCCACTGGAATGACAAAAAGCTCAGTGTCACTGGAGAGGTCTTCTCTTCAGCCCAAGTTAGTAAATATGGCCTCTTTCCCCTATGGGAAAAGGGACTTTAATCAGGTAAACATCAGCCCCTGGCTACCCATCCTATAATCAAAGCAATTACCTAATCTATTAGGCCACTGTACTGCTAAAGCAACCTGCTGGCCTTCTTTGTAACCTCATTGGAATTATTTCTAAAGATAACTCATTTTCCCAGACTGTCTAGCTGCCAAAGATTTGTGGAGAAATGTCTATCCATTCTTTCAGAGATAAAGCAAAGAGAGCAAGGACTTTGCAGGAAGTAGCATAGTCTCAGCTCTGGTGGATCGTCATACAGATCTCAGATGTCCTTTATGAGGCAGAGGTCAGGGACAAGTAGTGACTTGGAAAGAGGCAATTAGATTAACTTCTTTTTTTCTCCACAGAAATAATTTCCAAATTTGAAAAGCAGGTCAGTCTTTGTGACTTACTGTGGACTTATTTGGGACTATATTTTTCCTCGATACAGAATTTTTCTGCCTCACTCTGTAATTTAATTTTCTTTTCATTGTAAATTTTGAAAGAAAGTCTCGTAAAAAGGAGGCTCTAAAGGGCTAACTTCATATTGATATCTAGAGTTTAAAACAGAAGGGTGCCATAGGTCAGTTGGTCTAAGGTACTCCTTTATCTTAGCTGTTTTCCATCACATTTCACAATAAGAACGTTTGCATTTTTCTGTCTCCATCTAGGCCAATGAGATAATCCTTGCTTTTAAACGTGAACTTTTGGTCTATGTTCTTATGGTCACACTTGTCACTAGTAACGCATAAATCTCACTCATCAAGCACCTGATGCAAGATTTACATATATTTATGAAGTGAATAACCAATTAGCACATCCATCAATCCATCCAATCAAAAGTGAATAACATTGCTCGTTAATTCTTTATAAAACTTTCAACTGAGTTACATATAACAATGAAAAATCATATAAATTAGATATATAGCATGATAAGTATAACCAAATTGTAATATTTGCTGGCTCAGCTTTTTTTTGGTAAGCAGTGGGCTCAAGGTATGAAACCTAAAGATCAGATTCTAATTCAGACATTTGCCCAAAATTTTAATTCAGAAGTTTCATTCAGTCTATACACAGGATGGACCAACTGTAAAATTTGAATCAGATCAGTATGCTCCTTAAAAGCTACGTACGTTTAGAAAATTATTTAAAATGCTTTTCTGTATAATGACTGAAATCTTTCTTATTGCTGTGTTCTTAACTTGGATCAATTAATCACATCTCTATTTGACAAATATTTGACAAATAATTATGGAGCAAGGGACTGAAAAGCTGTACCTCTGGATTACACCTTGTGATGACCTGCTGTAGGTCACTTAAGCCATGGGATTTCTAAGGATATGAATGTAGCATTCATAGTGGTGTCACAGGGCATATGCAAGCAGTGTTTGCAGGGAGCTCTTGGTGCACAGGTAACATTTCTTTTGGTGTGTGATTTAGCCTGTCCTTAGCTTTCCAGGCCTACAATTGCATATTGAGGCTTGTTTCAGCACTGCTGCAGTTGTATGGGGCTGTGGTGGATGCTACAGCTGAGGCTGTGTTGATGACACAGACTTTCAGGACTTGACTGCAATTCACCCTGGTTCCACAGGATGTAAGGAACCTCAGTACCTCCACAGGCTTCTCTTCAAATCTCAGTCTTCAGAAGTCTTTTTCTCATTGTTTCGGAATGTTTTCTTAGAGTGGATCACTGAGTAGGTACAATTTGTACTCAAAAGTAAGTTTTTGCCTGTCAGACTGCTAGAATCAGTAAGCAGAAGGAGGAGGGAGTGCCAAACTGGGGTATCTAGAGAGGTATGCTGCTAACACTGCAGCATTCAAGACAGTTTCTGATTTCTTGTAGTCACTAAATGTAAATTTTTAAGACTGGTAAGGTTAACTCTACTGTCCTGGCCAAGCTCAAGGGGTTCTAGCTATATTTTACTGACCCAAATCACCTCTGCTGCCTCATTTGCACATGATGCACATTGCCAAAATTTATATTTTCAATTACAGAAGTGGCTACATTTCAGAAGCTGGTGAAATGATTGGTTCGTGCATATACATGTATAAGCATATTGAAAAAAATCTCAGAGATCTTCCCAGGAAAGAGCAATATTTTTCAAAAAACCATACAAATGATAAATACTGAAGTGCGTAAATCCTAGGATCGACTGATTTTCAAAGACTATTGGGATGGAAGACTAGACAGTTAAAAGTCTTATGAATGAAAAGTTCACACACATGTTTCGTAATACATTGAATATGCAGCAGGAAGAGAGCTTCTAAGAAATGAATACTCCCTTTTCCTTTGAGGCAAAATTAAAGGCAAAGTGCTGTGTGATTCCATGACATGATTCCATATTTTTATTTCTCCTTTGCTTCACATTAAGATAATGAAAAGCCCATGAAAGTGATAGAAGATGAAGATCTTGTGGACCAGCAGCTCATAAGTGAGTTGAGGAAAGAGTATGGGATGACCTACAATGATTTCTTCATGGTGCTGACAGACACTGACATGAAGGTCAAGGTGAGGTTTTCAATTATTTGAACTCAGCTCTCTTAAAAGAAAATGCACTGGAAACATACTAAAAAAAAATTGGAAAACTTGGGAAATTATACTACACACTTGCATGTGAGGCACACAAGATACTGATGCAGGACCTGGTCATTGCTGGAGGACAAGCTAAAAACAGCAAGCAAAATTTTCAGAACATAGGTAGCTATCTTCATTTTCTGCACTTACAGGAGTAAGGATCTCAGGAATTGTGTTTCTGCTGGAATGATGAGGAACAGAACCTTCCCACAGCTAACAGGGTTTTAATGTAGTACCTGACATTCTAAAACACAAAGTTTGGCTGCTCAACAGGATGACAGCACATCGCATAAGGACAATCCTCTAGCTGAATGGCCTTACAAAAGCATATAATAACTACAATGTCATGGCCTTATCACTTTGGGCAAATAGTGAAAATATGCCCCTCCCAAAGGGCAGTCTGACTGCAAAAACAATTATATTTTCCATAGTTTCTGATCTGTTTTAGGCCTTGTTGCCTGCATGCGAGTTAGAATACTTTTATCTCTAAACATCCTACAGTGCTGTGATACAAGCAGAAAGGCTGCTAATATGAGCATCCTTATACCCACCTGTCTTGTTTTTTTCCTAACAGCAATACTATGAAGTACCCATAGCAATGAAGTCTGTGTTTGATTTGATTGACACCTTCCAATCACGAATTAAAGACATGGAAAGACAGAAAAAAGAGGGCATTGTCTGCAAAGAAGATAAGAAGCAATCTCTTGAGAGCTTCTTATCCAGGTATCACCGTCTGTTCTTATCTGCTGCTAGTTCTAATTGTCATTGTACTGGAAAAATACTCATGTATACAACTATTTCTAGGATTTTTAAATACAGGTTTCTCAAGTATTTACAATGTTAAGCAAATAGAGAGATGCAGTCAGAGCTGAATGCAGTCTTGTATAGATTGCTGAAAGACAGGAAGCATGTTTCCTGAGGAACTAATCTTCCTTGGACACTGATTTTCAATACCTCAGTTTCCCCATCATGACATGGAGATAATAAAACTGATTTGCATTAGAAGAGCAAATAAGGATTAATCCACAGATGTTAGCTGCATGTATGAAACACAGTGTTTATGTGTTTTGATCATCAACCATCCCAATCTCATTAATCCCATTTTAATCCCTTTCATATAGTCCAAATAAATTTAAATTCTCTCTAACTTCCTTCTTATCCTGCTTGAGATAACAGTTTGTCTTTGCCAGTATTAGTCATGCATATTGTTAACGGTCTTCCAGATGTCTTTTGCAAAATGTTGGAGACCTTCTACAGAAAGACAATTTAGTTTATGCAATCTCTACATACTGTGTTATTACTCTACCCCAAGATCTAAATTCCAGGCAATAAATTTATCTGGACTGTGATAATTCAGACCCACAGAAGAGCTGTGCAGCTGTGCAGCTACAGCCCTCTCTCAATGATAACAGGATAATTGACATGAAATTAGGACTACCCTATCATTCTAGACCTTATCTGTTACAACTGCATCTTCCTCACCTACTGTGAGAATGGGAATACACTGTTAATGCCAGATGGCTTTAAAAATAACTGAGGCAGCAAGATGGATTATGATGAGGAGGAAAGGAGCAACAAGTAAATGAATAGGTTGTTGATACATAATTTTTTTTAAAAAGTTCAATGGCCGCTTCAACAGAAAGAGCACCTTCAAAAAGATCCACCCCACCCACCTCCTGTTTAGGTCCCAGTGATTCATCCTTGAGACCACCAAGAACCACCACAGTTTGGAAACAGCTGATCAGCACAAGAAAGAGCTTGTATACTGGAAAGGGACAGGCCCCAAATGCTTCCTTGCTTGGAAACAGCCCTAGTAATAAATACACATTAGAAAGCTGGGCACAAAAAATGCAGTGTTGCATCTATTAACAGAACTGCTGCTGCAGCATAGAATGCATTTGTTGTCTTTGAAAGAAGCATCAGGCTTTAAATATTGGGTGGACTTCTCTAACCACATTAGCTGGTCAGATTCCCAGTAAAATTAATTCCAGATTTGTCCAATATCATGTTCCCAGTTGAACAACAGCCTTGGCATCATCTCCCTGGTGTTGCTCCTTGCAGAGCTCAGCTATAATAATGCGAATATTGTTCTTAAAAAACCTGCCTGGTGTGAAAGGAGACCATGAGAGCCAGAGCCAGCTTGAGTAATGCTTAAAAGCAACACAAAGGAGGAAGAAAACCTTGAGTTTGGGGGTGAGTCCCCCTCTAAATCTGAGATACTGGCTGTGCTGCTCTCTGGGCTCACACATAAGAACAGGATATAAAACAGAAGAAAGGTTCCACACAAGGAGGGGTCTGGAAGATTTGTCAGGAGTATTGGTCCACGGCTTCTGATGTCAGAAATAAAGCAGAAATCTGTACATTAATGTTGGCAAACTACTGTGAAGTGTGGTGAGTGTGAAGGACCAACTGAAATAATTTCTAAGCTGTAGTCCCAGATAAGCACACCAAGTGCTCCTGGGGCAGGGGAATAAACAGCTTGAATGGCTTTCAACACTTTTCAGCTCTGTGTAACTCCAAAGGAGATATTAAAAAAAAAAATAGAAAGAAATACAAAAGCATCTTAAAGTGACTCAGTTTTTCCCTAGGCAAAATGTGATCCAATGGCCACATTCTCACTCACGGTTGGTAGGTATCCAGCTGTTTTTCTATACAAAAGAGCACAAACAGTATTTTGTCCCCATTTTCAGAATAATGTCGCAGAATTTCCCTCCTTTTCTTCACATCACATATGTGATCCTTATTGCTTCTCATTCCTATTCACTTAACTGTACACACACATTCATGTCTCTTTGCTGTTCCTCCTGAGAAAGAAGAAAATTGAGGAGGTTTGCTTTTCAAGGATTTACTTCTCTAATTGTAAAAAAAACAAATCAGTATCAATCAACAAGCAAAGACCTCAGCATGCCCTGCTCTTCTAACAACTTCTTCTCTGACTTTGAGCAAGTCCCACCATATCTTCAGCTTCTCTTAAGTGAAGAAGAATTGACATTTTGCATTAGCCTTCATTTTGAGATCTTCACATGGTAAAGCAGAAAAGCAGGCTATTATTATAACAGAGTAACATCTGTATCCATTTAAAAGATCATTTCCTGCTGTAAAAATATCTCTGCAGCTTTGCAAATTCCTATAAATCTGATTTATTTAGATTAAGTGGAGAAGTACCTATATTCAAAAAACAAGTTGTTGAGAGAGTATTAAAAACCTGTAGAATTAGAATTTTTAAAGATTTCAGATGTTCTTATGGCACTGCCTTTCCTTGACAGGAAAGGCAGGAGATCCTTATGCAAAATCTTGGGTAGATGGTGCAGCCACTATTAAAGAAAGATTCCAAGGTTTATCTTATTGCCCCATATATGCCTTATACAGCCACAGGCTGACACAAATACACACTTACAAACAAGCTCAGATTTAAAGCCATGTTGAAGGTATTTTGAGCAAACATGGTGCAGGAAAGAAAAAAGAGGTCAGTGATTATTTACACAGAAGTATGAGTTATGTCTGAAATGAAGATACACCCTAATTCTCAGACAGCCCTTGGACTGCAAAATAACTGTGCAGTTCCAGCAGTGGTGAATGACGCAAAAGCTAAATGCCTAGTGAGGAATTCCACAGGAATCCTTCTCTCTTGCATATACACTTCTCAGCACTGCTGTAACTACTGAAGGGGCTTTGAGAAAAGATCATAAACTTTGAAGTGTTTGTTTGGTGAAGCAGCAGCACTGCAAGTGTTTCTTTGAAAGTTTTGGAGCTGTAAAATTCAAAACAAGCTTTATCCTCTCCCAGTGATAGACAGAACTGGGAAGATTTCCCATCCAGCTGTTACTTAGAAGTTGTGAGAGATATGGCATATCTCAGCCTACAGTGAACAGAAATGCTAATAGGACTTCAGTCACATGTCATGACCATGCCTGGTCACACTCTCTTTTCAGGTTTCGATGGAGAAGGCGGCTGGTGGTGATCTCTGCTCCCAGTGATGAAGATTGGGCTTATTCCCAGCAGCTTGCTGCTCTCAGTGGACAAGCCTGCAATTTTGGTAAGTCAAAAAAAATTATAGTCTTGCTCCCCCAAACCACATCCTTCCTGGTGATGTGATAGATTCCTTTGCTCAAGTTTGAACCTGGACAGTTTGAGGAGTCTGACAACTGAAAATTTTCCTCCAGATGCAAATGGAAGATTGTGCTAAGTAGGCAGTATAGCACACTGGCAGCTAAGACAGCTAAACAAAGTGTTCCCTGGAATAATTTTTGAAACATTACACTAATGTAGCAGAAAGTGCTAGCACTCCAAAGTTTCTCTTCAGGCTTGTAATTCAGGAGAGTAATAGTTGTTTTGAGGTTCTTTTGTACTGCACAACTTAACAACACAAGGAAATGCTTTGGTAAGAGTAGATCCTTTAAGATCCAACTGAGAACTGGGGCAGGCATCAGGGAGATGCATGGACATCAGGGTGTTTTTCTTCTCCTTACTGCTTCATTGCAAAAATCTGTAAAAATATTAATGGAAGCCATTTCCATCCAATAAAAGCCCACCCAGACTCATAACTAGGTACTTAAGATTCACCTACATAGTCAGGGTTCCTCCAGGAGACAACTAAGGGCAAGACCCAGAGGCACTCTTCTGTTTTCTTGTCATGGAATGACAAGTAAATTTAATTTAAGGCTTACTCCTGAAGTTCCTAGCAATGCTAGATTTGACTCCTTCAACAGAATGAAACAGGTCCCTTTCAACAGCTGCTATATCTATGCATTTCAATTCCATCAGAAGGGAGATCTGCACAGTGTGGTTGTTTATTCATAATCACCTGGCTTTCATTCAGAGCATCAGCATCATCTCATTGGAAAAGTACTAAAGTAAACTGCATGGGCCACTGCAAAATGCTTTCTGAAGAATAAAATATAGTCAAAACAGTTGAGTGTCCCCACCCTTTGGTAGGGACAACTTGAACATGATCCAGTAAGTTTCTAAAGCATTTGTCAATGGGTGTTTTAACTAAGTGGCATGTTTCCAAGCATCTCACCTCCAAGTTATAAAAGCAGCTACATCAAAGATGTAACTAAAACAATAGATTGTACTGAGTCATGTTACATGAAGAGTTTTTGCTATCCCTAAGGTCTTTCTTCAAAGCAGAGGCAACAGTCCAGGCCTCTGTGCAGATCAAATGGAAGAAGTGAGTATCTTTCATAAGCTATTCCCTGCAGTCATTCAGAGTTTAACTGGCATAGGTTATATTGCCTCTAAATAATTTTTTGCTGTATGTGTAAGTAAAAGCTTCACTAGTGAAGAAAACAGTGCAGGAAGATTCTGGAGTTGAAGAATGGCCTCTGTAATTTACTGGTGTATCCCTATGCTACAGAACCACATCACCATGCTGCTGGCCTTGGAACAGCTTTATGCAACTGATATCATATTTACTCAACACATCAGCTTATCCTGTTTGGGACAGGTGATGTGACTGGCAGAAACTCCATAGAAATCAGTAACTCTCCTGGAGGGCTGGCTGAAACTGGACCCTTACTTAGCAATCACAGACCTGGCTGATCAAACTGAAATCTGACCAAAGATAAACACAAAGATCTGGTCTGACCCAAAACCTTCATTTCCTCCACAGGTCTGCGCCACATAACTATCCTCAAATTGCTAGGAGTTGGAGAAGATATTGGAGGTGTCTTAGAGTTGTATCCAATTAATGGTAAGTGACTGTTTTCAGTTTCTTCAGTATTACCCAAGAAAGGCATTATACAGTGCTGAGTACTTCTTTGCTGTAATTTCTTTAGAGAGATGAGTATGACTGTTTTCCTCTTTTGTTTCTTCTAAGAAATAAGATGACACAAAAGAAAACAAAAGCTTTCTTGGTGCTTCTGGACTAAACATTATATATTATATTATATATATTATATTTCTTCAGGACAGAAAAGAACAAATATCTGAAATTTATCTCACATTTTGATTTCCCGCCTAAGCTTACAGTCCCCAGTACACTCTTCTAGCCTTGCTGTCAGAGGCAGGGATGTTTGTGCCTTTTTACATGCTCAAGAGTTTGCAGGGCTAATCAAACACACACTCAACAGATTCTCCTCTATGGATCCCTCGTTTATATTCATAGAATGTCTTGGAGTGAATAGGACCCCTTAAAGATGATCAAGCTCCAACCCCCTGCCATGGGCTGGGATATGTTTCACTTCATCAGGTTGCTCAAAGTCCCAGCTAACCTATCCTTGACCACTTCCAGAGACAGAGCATCCATATGGGCAACCTGTTCCTGGGTCACACCACCCATACCCTAAAAAACATCTTTCTTCAATCTAAATTTACCCTCTTTCTGTGTAAAATTAATACCCTTTGTTCTGACTCAGACTTTTTACCAGGGCCCATTCTCCATCTTTCTTATAAACTCTGTTTAGTATTCCACTTGCATCCCGGCTCTTTCAGGCAGATCCTTGAGAAAGTCCCATTGTCAAATGCTGCAGGTTTCTCTACTAACTAATCCAAACAACTGCCTCCATCAGTGGAGGAACAAAGACAGAAAGCAGCTTATTTATCCCAACTGTACTCCAACTCATGCTCTGTGCATGAAAGCATTCTAGTCCTTCTACAGCACAGGAACATTAAGTCTGTAAGCCACCATGTAAGAGTCCTGTTGCCAAGCCAACTGTGTAAATATGTGCCCACTGATCTTAACTGTCTTACACTTTCTACTCATTCACCCAACACAGACTTCACACATCTGGAGTTCATCAGATTCACCCTAGAACATGTACTTTGAAGAGGAAATGACATCTACCACATCCCACACCTCACATATTATGACAGTTCAAGAGTGAGGCTCTATAGGCTCTTGCAATTCTTCTATCACAATTCAATTCCTGTAATTTCTTTCACTGTTACTGTTTTTCACATATGCCTTCTGCAATACATAACTGGTGACCCAAGCTGCAAAGACATCAAAGAAGTTCATGGATTTTGGGTGACAAAAAGATGTACCACACTACAGTAGCTTCAGAAGAATAAGAGAATAGGATAAGTACATAGATAATAATCTATGAATAAGAGAACAAGGACAAGTTTACTAAACTTTAAAAAGCTGTTAAAAATACATCTTCAGTTCACAGTTATTTCATTTCAGATGCAGGAAATGGATCTGAACTTGCAAATTACAATAATTTTACATTGCCAACTCTTGGGCTAGATCCCATCTCCTGTTGCTAATTTTTTTACCTAGAAATCATCACCATCACCTAAACAAAACATTAATGCTGATTTTATGTGATCACTTTCTAGGAAGCTCAACTGTAGACCGAGAAGACATCCCGGCTAATTTGGTGAAAGACATTCGGAATTATTTCCAAATTAGCCCAGAATATTTCTCCATGCTTCTAGTGGGGAAAGATGGCAACGTCAAATCCTGGTATCCTTCTCCAATGTGGTCTATGGCAATTGTGTATGACCTGATTGATTCCATGCAGCTCCGGCGCCAGGAAATGACAATCCAGCAGTCGCTGGGCATGCAGTGCCCTGATGATGAGTATGGTGGGTATGGCTACCACAGCTACCACCAGGGCTACCAAGAAGGCTACCAAGACGACTACCGTCACCACGGAAGTTACCACCATGGATATCCGTACTGAACAGAGCGACTGAGCCTCTGGCTGCCCCTGTGTCTGTCTTCCAATAGCTATCCAAGCAATAGGTGGCCAATTGCAGAAAATCCTCCCAGGCCACCTAGATAGCCATGCCTCATTCTTCTTCTGTTCAATCAAGGGACTTTGGTAATTTGCCTTCTCAAAAAATGCAGAAGCCTTTACAGTGAAGCAATTCAAACCAGTAGTATTGAAGCTTTAAACAATAAAGACTCCTTTATATTTTTAAACCTTTATAAACAAAGGCCATCAGCAGGTGCTGTTTGTATTAAAACCAAACAAAAAAAACCCATAGCCCCAGCCCATGGGCACCACAGCAGGGCAGGAAACAAAGTGTCCAACAATGTGCTTTTTACTACTTTTTCTAAGGGAAAAAAAAAAAGGACATTTATTGGAAAGTGAGATTTCATTATGCTTATGAAGAGAAACAAAGAACCACACTTTGGGTCTCTCCCAGAAAACAAAAATTTAAGAAAGAACCATGGGGCATACTCTTTAATAATAACAGTAATACAATATTTTTGAAACACCATGTTTAAAAAGACAGTGCATTACCATTGTAATTAGCTCACTTTATAAATGAAAATAAGATTTATGGCTATGGCAGAACTTGTTCCAATACAATACAATGTAAAGTTCTTAAGTACAAAGCTTACTGCATGGCTATTTATTCTTTCAGTTGGGGACCCTGTTCTCTTAGATCCCACCCACCTCACTGTTAAATCCAAGTTAATGATAGCTAAGTGGAAACACCAACCAGGGTTAGCACTGTCTGAAATACAGAAATCTGAAAAGCATTATTTTCATCTGAAAAAGAAATCTCATTCAAGTATATTTTCAATGAGTTGTAACTAGCTCTCTATAATAATGCTTTTAATTAAACTGTTACTCTAAATTTCAAATTTTCTTTTACCTCTTCTTCTCATACCCTCCCCTATATAAAAGTAATCTGGATTAAATGTTTATAAAAGTATTTGAAATTAATTTAATCTGCTAAACCATTAGAAACTATTTCTGCCACATTTTCAGAAATGGTTTTTTAGTCCCTTCTCATTGAAGTCTTTGGGCATTGGAACTGTAGCACTGCCCTACCCTACCGAAACCAGTGGCAGGAACTGCATGCATAGCCATGTTTTCAACACATTTGGGTTAGATTTCTAAACATTAAATATGCAACAGAAAGATTATGGAATATCTTTAAGTGAAGATATATGTCAGCCTTTATCATGGCACATTGGCCACTTCTGATGTCAAAGGTGTGCCTGACCAGTCACATTTCTTTTTATAATCCATTTTGTGGGTGCACATCACATACAGATGCACACAACAGGACATACGTACTGGGTATTGCTATCAGAGAAGTAGCACAGGAACAGGGAGAAGCTACAGCTCTAAGCTGGCCAGAGCATGCTCTGCATTTTGACTTCTGACATTTTCCTGATTTTTTTTTTCCCCAGATGAAAACAAAACTGGCTAAAGCAACAAGTTCACTCAAAACCAGATGCTTTCTTTAGAAACTTAAGTCACAAAAGGTCAGGCATTACTTGCCCTTCTTTCTGAATGTCAAAAAGGCAGGCAGATGGTCACAAGACCTTAGTTTTGCAAACCTGGTCGCTCTCTGGGGCAGGCTGCTCTCCCTATCACAAGGTCTAGTTAGTGCAGGGTACAGCTCCTGACTTACCTTTCTCAGGTGACTGGAGCTAACTGGGGGAAGGCATTTGACAGAATGATTTTGAGAGGACAGCTGTCTGCAGACAACTTCTGAGCTCTCAGTGATGATAGCACTTCCACAGGTGAAAGCAGTTGACAGAGAAATTCAAACAGCCAAAAAAGAATCACAGGATGGAAGGATTTCTAGAATAAAATGGAGTGTCCTGTAGCTCACTTTTAGAAAACAAGAGTTCATTGAATCACTGTATCAAGGTCAGCTGGCTAACTTTCCTTGCCTAAAGCAACAGCAGAGAAAAGTATACCAGATGCCCAACAGGCACCTCCTGTAGGCAGAAAGAAGAACACCCTTGGGGCATTTTCTTTCAGGTGTTCCTTTAAGCTTTCCTGTAATCTTGTTTTTATGTAAAGTCTTTAAATGAAAGCCCTTTTAACTCACACTACAAATCACATAAATTAAATGTCCTGTGCTTCTAGGGTTAACTTATATTAAAAGAGTGCAGCACCTGATCCTTGTCCATTGAAAAATGGCCTTTTTTTCAATACCCCTGTCAGAAATTCAAAGCCAAATTGTGCAAGTACCAAACCCAGCCTAGGCATTCAGTGGGAGTTGCATTAAAAAGACAACTCCAAACAAGCTGTCCACTTATCAAGAGAGGTAGGGATGGGCTCTTAACCAAAACTACACATCCACAATCATAGAATTTGTTGACGACTCTATTATTCTACATTCTGGTGCCTATTTCTGCCTTCATTACAAAATGACACTGAATTACCAGAAACTTTTAGCAATGAGTTAAAATCTTGATTTTGCAACCCACTTTTCCCTATATAAAACTAAAAGCAAAGCTAGAAGGAGCACCAAGCCAAAATATTCTTTCAACAATAACACATAGCTAACTTGCAGGTATAAGTATTCAGGAAATACAAATCAAATCCAGATCACTGGATCTGTCCCTGAAGCATCACTCTGAGGACAGACTTACTAAGATTAAGGTCCTATTTCAACATAACTTAGTGGGAAGGTTCTACATGATAAAGAAAATCTTTTTTCTTATACATATTTTTGGCATTTGATTCAGCTCCAAGGTGGCTGTTTTCATCCACAGTCTGTCTTTGAAGCTGCTACATTCACAAAATAGCTGAAATTAACCAAAATAAATACTTCAATTTACTTGTTGCAAGAGAAACACGAACACACATCTATTCTTGAGATGTTTTGTGAACTGCTTCCTCAAACCTGGAGGGAGGAACATAGCACCCTCAGCAGCAATTAAGTTCAAACGTTTGTGAATCTGGGCTCTAAATCAAAGCTGAGCATGAACGCTCTGCCCAAGGTATTCATTAAAGACTCTGTGCCAAACTAATGCTGCTCTCCAAAAACATCCTCATAAATTTCCCTACTGTAATTTTGAGAGAATATAAATTAAGCTTTCCAACATGGAGTAGTTTCCATATAGTGGAAATACTTAACCAAGTGGGATTTCACATGACCTATCTGAAACATGTAACTCTAAAGAATTGCTCCTCCTTGCTCCCCAGGGCTGCCTCCAGCTGACAATTGTTCACAGTCACTTCCTCTAACAAATCTCACCTACATACTACATTTTACCATTGCAATGGATAACACAGCTGCAAAGATTTGCATGTTATGCTTTGGGTTACTATCTACCCTATGTTACTAAGTGGATACAAATCCTTACCCATTTTTTTGACATCAGTTAACATTCCTGTTTCTGCAAAGGGGATATACAGTTCTCCTTCATTATAATAAGAAACCTGCCTGGCCATCCAACATAAGCTCTCTGAGACTTCCAACCTGAAGACAACAGAAAGATTTCTACGTGTAAGACAGAACCAAATCTGCAGCATGAGTAAAAACTTGGATCAACAGTTATATAACCAATACCTTTGTGCAATCTAGACTTTGGTAAACAAGTCAAGCATAGCATTAGGGAAATTTACAGAAAGGAAAATCACTAAGCAGGATGAGAGTTGAAAGCAAGAACTAAATGCAGTTTAAAATAGCTGAAGATCAGTCATTTACGTATTTCTTGTCTCTTAATGCAGATATTTCAGGCACAAGGGTCAAACATGGTTTTTAAGACATTAATCTCTGGCTTGATGCTGTATTTAGTATGATCATGGCTGATTTTTATGTTCTTTCTTGATGCAAGGCAAAGGTCTTCGGAACTTCACGTAAAAAGTTACTGCTCACATAAACGCAAAGCAATCTAAAGCTAACAGTACTTTCACCCTTTTTGAAAGTACCTGCAAAAGTTGGTAGCTGTGACTGAAAAAGGCAACAAACTCAGGTATATATTGGAAAAAAAAAAAAAGAAAAAAAGTCTTATTGCCACTAAGCCTTTAACAGTTTGAGGATTTTTTTTTAAGTTTCATTTCGCAAAATACAATATCATAAACCAATAAGAGCAACGGAGTTTCTGGAATTTACACTGAAATATGCCTTCTACTCCTTCTGTACAGATGCAAACAACTAGGATTCCTTATGTTGAAACGGCCTGCTATACAAGCACAATGAAATTAGATGCAAAAAGCTTCTCAACAACAACATTAATTTTGCACAGTTATTCTTAATATATACTATAAAAATACAGAAAAAAAAATAATAGAAATTCTGAATTCATAGTTTCTAACTTGACAGTTACAAACCATGGGCCACATATGAAAACAGGCTGTCCCTCCTGATGGATCAATGACAGGAGGTATGTTAATATAGCAATAAACCAACAATACAGTACAGCTGCATAAGCTTTATACACAGAGCCTGGACAGGATGGCAGAGGAGAACAAAGGCAGGACTGTCTTCAGTCCGGAGAAATGCATCACTTACTGCTTACTGTACACTCTGGTATGAGGCTCTGACACTGAACTCATTGCTTATCTTAAGAATTCTTCTGACAGTATCTTCCAACTATGAAAGACACGTTTTTGAAGCGAGGAAATTATAAACCAACATCTTTTCCACTGCTCTGAGAGAAGAGGCTTTAGGAACATACCAGGAATCCCTTATCAACATCCCTGTTCCCTTGCATGTTTCAAAATTCTCTGAATAATTTGGAACCTATTTTTCATCTCAGTCAAAATATAATCCAGCAGATGCCACAACTGAAATTCTGAGATCATGATGCCTGGCACTCTGCAGAATGACTTCTCTCTCTCCAAAATGAATGCAAGACCTTATCAGTCTGCCAGGGTAGAACAACACCAGATGATACTGCCACCTGCACTCTCTTGCTCAGTGCTCCAGATGTTGAAGGCCATTACTGTAGCTGCATAATATTTGTTTTCAGTAGTGGGCTCAGTGCAAAAAAGCCTCTGCACAAAGCCTTTCTATATAAACATGCAAAAAAATATGATGCATTCATACTGTTTAATAAACTTTTATTTTATTTAAGCTCTTTCAAAGTTAGGCCACGTAAGCTGCATGTAAAATTCACCAGCTGCTACAAAGGCATTCCAGATTTCCATTTCCCCAGACACTGGGAGACAGGCACAAAAGAATACAACTCTCCATATATACAGCTTGAATATTGTCCTCATCCACATATGACATCCAGCCCCAAAACAGCTCCAAACAGTCTGTCAGTGGGGAAAATGACCCTTCTCTATGTTAATAAAAGATTAACTCTCTCTCACTGTGAGTCATAGCACTCCTCCAAGCCAGCCTCATGCTAGAGGGAATCTTCATCTGTATCGATATCACTGCTTGGTTTGTTCAGCCTCTCAAATTCTTCTCCATCCTACAGGAACCAGAAGCAAAAGAGAACAATGTGAGCAAAAGTAAAAAAAAAAAAAAAAGTAAGGTTTATTCCAAAGGTATCACTTAAAGCAAAATCAAGACTGTAATTTAAACCTCTTACCAGTGTGTTATAAGGTTTAGGAAATACATACTCATAAAAAACATTCCCTGCATCTTTAACACTTTTTAGTGACTCACTGCCTAAAACAGCTTGTAGTCCATTCTTCCATAAAATCATAAAATGTTTTGGGTTGGAAGGTACTGGAAGGATGCTAGGTCTCCCTGGAGCCTTCTCTTCTCCAGGATGAACATTCCCAACTCTCTCAGCCTGTCTTCATAGGAGAGGTGCTCCAGCCCTCTGATCATCTTCCCCTGGACTTGCTCCAGCAGATCTAAGTCCCCAGAGCTGGACATAGTACCACAGGTGGGGTGTCACAAGAGCAGAGGGGCAGAATCACCTACCTTGACCTG